TTTTCTCTGTTTCTTATTCTAATTATTGTTATTTTTGCGGGTTCGTTTACTGGTTGCCATGGCGCCTTTGGCTTGTTGGTTTCGTGAATGTTAACTACGGTTTGCAATGTGCAAACCTCCATTAAATAATAACGGAAACGCGTACGTGGGTGATCCACGTAAAGTGGATGAAGGGCACCCAAGTTGCAATGTTGTGTTTAGTCACACGGAACAAACAAAATCATGAAGCGAAAGGCCCAAACCTGGTCAAAGACGAAGCTACCTTTTTTTTTTTTTTTTTTTTTTTTTTCAAAACAACACAATTTTATTGAAACTAAGAAAAAATGATGGCACCTATGTACAGGGGATGGCCCACGCCTGGTATAAAGTAAACGTAAAAGAGAAAAAAGTAGTACAGTGAAATCGATAACAATAGTTCAGTTCACACACAATACCGCTCCTGCGCCGGATCAGACCACAATCCTAGCCTCGGCAACCGCCAGTGCGGCAGAAGCAGAGACAAGGCGGTGACAGTGGATCGGTCGGGAAGCTACCCGGGCCTAAGAAGCTCATCCAGTATTTTGATTTCGTACTTCGGAAACTTCTTCAGCTGAGCACCCTCACAGCTTGCACAATGCACCCAATTCTGATTTTCACCCACGTTCTGGCGGAACGTGGGTGAGCCTCCATACACGGTATGTCGTGATTCAGAAAACGTCTGTACGTGGGTCACTGAGTGAAATACCGAGCACCTTACGTAGAAGTATCACGTGGTACACACACGTAAAGTACCCACGGATTACGTGGGACTAAACCTCCCTACTCACACATCCAGGAAGGCCTCTAAATGCTGAATAGCACTGGGCCCAACACAGACCCCTGCGGCACTCCTTGGCTGCACGATGCACGAATCAGATTGTCGGGCGCTATGAGCTGCTGTGTCCTGTGACTCAGGTAATCTTTGAACGGTGGAAATCTGACCCGGGTTGAAACGCTTCATGTAACCACAGCCTACGTAGAGACCCGTCAAAACTCAGGGTTTGTGCGGCCCTTGGTCAAGTAGTCCGGGATCCGGATTCTGTGAAATCAATTTTTCGCAGTAGGTGTGCTCTGGAAGGAGGATTTGGGCATATTCCAGTTAGATAGGGAAGGGGTTTAGTAGCATGGATCCACTTGTCGGACTCCTGAAAGCTGTGCCATAAGCTTGCTACGAGGGGGGTTTTCATGGCAATTTCTCCTCGCTGATTTCAAGATCTTCGTGCACCTGAGCATTGATCGGGCACGCTCACATGAAGCATTTTGTAGCAGTGCGCTACGTAATTCTATACAAAAGTCTGGATTCGTGAATTTAGAACTAACTTCGAACGATTGAATCTGGTGTCATAACTAATGTTACTTTGTAGATTACAGAGAGGACAGAAACATTACTGTTCGGCTCACAACCAGAGAGAGAGAGAGAGAATGGAAGCAAGGCAAAAGGCAAGGAGCGGCGAATTCTGCTCACCTGCTGAATACGGTGTACGGTACAACTATACCAAAAGGGAAGGCCGACGATATGATCGGAGAGTCCGAGAAGTGGAGCGATCCACTTTTCTCCCCTTTGTGCTCTCTTCCACCGGAGGATGCGGCAAGGGTGCCGCTGCACTGGTGAGCCGGATTGCACATCTCCAGTCGCTACGTGGGAGGGAGGCGTATTCTGTGCTAATTGCCCACCTCCGCTGCAGGCTGTCTTTCGCCCTGCTGCGTTCGAGTGTCATGTGTCTGCGTGGGGCTCGCCGAGTTTGGCAGCCTCCAATGGATGGCTGTGCCTCCCTGGCTGTCGTGGAGGCTAGGGTGTCCCGTTGAGCCTTGCCCCGTGATTGTGCGGACTATGCTTCTCTTGCTGTCTGATCACATGCGACGTCATCATTATGTGATTTGTTTTCAATCCTCCGCCATGGCAAATTGTGTTTTGTTCGCCCGTAAAAGAGGCTTTTACTACAAGAAAAAGAAAAAAGAAAAAAGGGAAGGCCAGCGGCGTACTGGAATCTAGTTGTACACAGCTGTAGTACGCATGCAAATAAGGATAATACGGTGCGGAAGTGAACGGCGCATGCTGATACGGTAAAGCGGTCGTAATACATATAAGTGTGACCGCGAGACAGGAGAATTTCATGAAGCCAATAATTATGAGAATTTCATTGAAACCGAAGTAAATCAGGTCATGTGACCGAGAATCCGCTACATTACTCCCCTGCCAGTGTACAAGCCGGAGGCAGGAAACGATAACCTTGGAAAGGAGAGGAACGACAACCGCAACGTAGTAGAAGAAGCGTATAAAGGAAGAAAAAAATGAAAAAATGAAAACCGCACGGCAACGGGAAAAGGTCCGACATAAACGGCCAACGGCGACAAAGAACGGAGAAGCCCAGTCGATCAGGTAGCAAAGCGAACAGCACGTGCAGGGGGTGGGGCAGCAGCAGCAACCGGCGGGACAATCAGAGAAAGAGCAGAAGCAGCAGCGGCTGTAACAGGCAGAGCATATGCAGGCTTCAAGCGGTCAATGCTTACCTGGTCGGACTTGCCCTTGACGTCGACCGTGAAATGCTTGTCAGCACGCTTGAGGACCCGGAACGGACCAGTGTACGGTGGCTGGAGCGGCTTGCGGACACTGTCGGTACGGATGTACACAAAGTCGCACGTTGACAGATCCTTAGGCACGTATACTGGGCGGTTGGACTGGCGAGGGCCGACGTCTGAGGGCCGGATGTTTTGCAATACATCCCGGAGGAACTGAACGTAAACGGGCACCGACGGCATAGACGGCGGTGGCTGGAAGAACTCAGATGGCAAGCGGAGAGTGGTGCCATAGACTAGCTCCGCGGAACTGCACTGGAACTCCTCGCGCAGGCTAGCGCGAATGCCCAGCAACACCAGGGGCATCATCGCATTCCAGGCACCAGGATGAGGGTGGCACTTCAGAGCACGAATACCCGGATGTGCAAGGGAGTGCAGGCTGTTGAAGACGGTCTTGCGAACGGACAACGGTACAAACGGGTGGGCAGTGCCGGTCGACATGTCGCACACCACCGGCTGGGTAGCGGAACCGTACGGGATTGGCTGAAGCTTCAGAGACGACTGCGTGTCTTGCTGAGCGGAGAGTAGCTCGGGATCAGGCTGCTGGGCGGCTGCCAGAGCCTGAAAGTCTACAGCGGCCGGCGGCGCGGTTACTGCATCAACAGTGGCGCGAGACAGAGCGTCAGCAACAACATTGTCAGCCCCACGCAGGAAGCGGAGATCCGTCGTGAATTCAGCCACGTAGGACAGGTGCCGGAGCTCACGAGGTGAGTGGCTAGTACCAGCAGCTTGCATGGCGAACACTAACGGGCGATGGTCCGTGAGAATGTGGAAGCAGCGGCCTTCCAGGTGATGCCGGAAATGCTTTACTGCCAGGTACGCAGCTAGCAATTCTCGACCGAACGTGCTGTAGCGACTCTGAGCTGGTTGCATTCGTTTGGAAAAGAAAGCGAGCGGCTGCCATGCCCCATCAACAAGCTGTTGAAGGGCCCCACCAACTCCGACATCTGATGCATCCACAACGAGCTGGAGGGGTGCATCCGGGATGGGGTGGATGAGCAGCGTTGCTGCAGCAAGCGCGTCCTTGGCAGCATGGAATGCCGTGACAGCGGCAGTGCCAAGTTTCAGGGGACAGTTCTTCGGACGCTGAGGTCCACCAAGCAGATCCGTCAGTGGTTGGAGGATGTCGGATGCCTGGGGAATAAAGCGCCGGTAAAAGTTGACCATGCCCAGAAACTCGCGAAGCTGGCGGCGAGATGTTGGAAGGGAGTATTGAGCCACGCCGTCGACTCTTGCCGGTAGCGGGCTGATGCCCTGGGCGTTAACCAGATGGCCCAGAAACGTCAGGGACGGCTGGCCGAAAACGCACTTAGCGGGGTTGATCACCAAACCATGCTGCTGCAGGCGCTCAAACACCAGGCGCAGATGTTGCAGGTGCGGAGCGTGGTCGGAGCTGGCGATTAGGAGGTCATCGAGGTAGACGTAGCAGAAATCCAGGCCATGCAATACTGAATCGATAAACCGCTGGAATGACTGTGCCGCGTTCCGGAGGCCGAAGGGCATCCTGATGAACTCAAATAACCCGAACGGAGTCGTGATGGCAGTCTTGGGAATGTCGGCCGCGGTTACTGGTATCTGGTGATACGCTCTGACCAGATCCAGTTTCGAAAACACTGTAGCACCATGGAGACTGCTGGTGAAATCCTGAATATGAGGAATCGGATACCGATCCGGTTCGGTGACTTTATTCAGGAGTCGGTAGTCTCCACATGGCCTCCAGTCTCCATTGGGTTTAGGAACCATGTGGAGAGGGCTGGACCAGGGCGAGGAGGATGGCCGAATGATGCCCAGGGACAGTATATGCTGGAACTCAGCTCTGGCCGTTGCCAGGCGGTCTGGAGCCAGCCGACGAGTGCGGGCATGCAGTGCCGGGCCGGTAGTCACAATATGGTGCTCCACCGAGTGCTTGACCGGCAGGTCATAACAGCATGGTTTGGTGAGGCTTGGGAACTCGGCAAGCAGGTCGGTGAATGCTGGTGCTGTGGCCACCGGGGCGGACACCAAGGAGCAGCTGAGCGATGCGGTTCCGGCAGGAATGCAATTGACCCGGAGGTCAGTGGAGTTGTCATGGATGGTGCGTCCATGAAGGTCGACTTGGAGACTGAACCGATGGAGGAAATCAGCCCCCAGGATCGGCTCCTTCACGTCAGCAACGACAAATATCCAAGGGAATGCTCGTCTAAGACCAAGGTCAAGGGTCAAACACCTCTGCCCGAAAGCCGGAATAGCAGAGCCATTAGCAGCGCGGAGCTGACACTGACCAGTCGGATCGACGTGGCGGCGGTGTTCAGAAGTGGCTGGCAGCAGGCTGACGTCAGCACCGGTATCCACTAGGAAACGGGTTCCACTGGTGACGTCACGGACATAGAGGCGGCGGGAGGTAGGTGGGCCAGACACAGGAGCCGCTACTGGCTGGCCGGGGCATTTCCCGACGACCAGGAGCACGGGGCTTCACACCGCCGGGCTTGCACACCAAACTTGCGGTGAAAATGGCATAAACCACTGCTATGCGGTGAGACCGAGCGACTGCGGGGTTGGCTGCGGAAGCGAGAGCGGCAGTGCTGCTGTTTCAGCTCGGTTACAGTGGTCGTCAGGGCGGCAACTTGGTCCCGGAGAGCTGCAATGGCGGCCATTGCCTCTGACTCGCCAGTGTTGCGAACTGCATGTACTGCCGCACTGGGACCAGCTGCCTCCACTATCCTGTCAGCCATTTCTGCCAGATCCTGCAGCGACAGTGATGCAGGGCAGGATGCTACTATTGACTTGGCCGATCGGGGCAACCGGCTGACAAACAGCTCGCGCAATAGTTTTTCAGGCATGGCGTTCTCACCTACCGACTGCTGCAGCTTGCGTAAAAGCTGGGTAGGCTTCTTGTCGCCCAGCTCCTCGTCCGAAATCAGCAGGCGCAAACGCTGCTGTTCTGACATCTGCGTGCGGTGAATCAGACGCTCGCGGAGGGCGTCGTACGGCTGTTGAGCTGGAGGATCCAGGATGATGTCACGCACCTCTGCCGCATACTCGGGTGTCAGAGATCCCACCACATACTGATATTTGGTCACCTGGCTGGTGATGCGACGGGTGGAAAACAGGGATTCCACCTGTGCGAACCAAACCTGGGGGTCAGCAGCCCAGTAAGGTGGCAGCTATGCTACGTAAGTTTCTACGTAAGGTGCTCGGTATTTCACTTAGGCTACGTAAGTCTCTACGTAAGGTGCTCGGTATTAGATATACCAGCGCGTGGTAGCCGTGTGCTGTGCACGTGCACGGCAGACATTGTGTTCAGTGCATGCATGCAGTCTAGTCCGCGGATCCGTGTTCAGATGTGCATGCGCGAGGAACTTCCTTCTTTGGAACTGCTTCTTGCATGAGCTGTTTCGGATATTTCGTCTTATGGCCTGGCTTATTTCGTTTCGGCGCTGCTGAGACCTCCTTTCGCGGAATATTACTCAATGACAGGTGAGTTGACCAGTTGCCTTTGATTCATTTGCTTGTGTTGACTCTTTCATTCAGGAAAAGTGTGCTGATTTTGGGGCGGAATGCAATAAATAATGGAAAAGTTGACAGGATCTCTTTTCTAAATTTTGCTTTTCTGCTGCCGAACTGCGAGGCCTCCTTTTACGGAATACTCGATGACAGGTGATCTCTAAGTTGACCGGTTTCCTTCGATTCATTTGCTTATGTTCACCTTTCATTTACGGAAACGTGTGCTGATTTTATTCGGATTTAGATCCATTTTTATCTCTTTGCCCTTGTCTACAGTGTGCGAAGAACGCGAGTTCAACTTCTTGACGGTAAGGCTTATGTTAGATGTGTTGTCGAAATACTCATATTCATTGTACATTGGTACGTTACAAGTAAGGCACTGGTCAGTGGCATACTATCGTTGGCAGTTCCCAATCTGGAGGGAAAGGTTCAAGTACCAATTGACCGAGTTTGCAAAATAAGTTTCGCGACAGCTCTTGCGAAAGTGTGTGCGAATTTTTGCACGAACTTTGCGTTCTGCACATTTTCGTAGTTTGCGCGGGCCAAGTGCACGTACGCCATGACCCGATCTCACGAAATTTCCTACGACGGTTCATTTCGCGTTCCCTGCAAGTTTTGCGTCCACAGTTCATTTCGCGTTCCCTGCAAGTTTCGCGTCCAAAGGTGCGAAGTTTCGCACTTCATGATGTAGAGCGAAAGTTTGTACGCATTTTCGTTTTGCAGAATCTCTCTAGTGACTCAATTGTTTCATACGAGACGAGTCAATGAGTCGGTGTGGCTTAGAATCTTTCGCTGTAGAAGAAATCTATTCGTATGTCTATTGGAGATATACCGTAAAGTCCGGAGCAAACGCCCACTTCGCAGCAAACGCCCACCCCTGCGGGTCCATACTATTTTCGTCTTTTTCAGGTCAATATAGTTGTAAACAACTGGCATGAAGGTCGAATGCGTACGAGAACGACTGTAATGCCTACAAACTGCCTATGTCCTACCAGGAGGCTGTGCAAAAGCGATTGTCATTATCTTCCTGCAAAGAAATAACTTCTGTCGAGATTTCCTTTTATTCAATAGATGTGGTAGTTCGTTCTCCATGTGTTACGAGTAATGCCGCATACATTTGTGCAGTGCCACGATGTCGTGCGGTCAGGAACAATAATTGTTCTGATGAAGCGTCAGTCAACGACTTGACTGGTCCCAACATTGCAGTTGCAAGTCGAACAGGGTATGTAACAGAAGCTACACCTGCAACGTCGCTGCTAACTTGTTGAAAACTCCGAAGTGCCCAAGAAAAACATTTGCCTTTGGGCGCTGTGTGATCTCGAAATGATGGCTTGAAACACCGTCAGACGTGTATTTGGTTCCTTCAATACTCTGTTCTTCGGTACCTTGTTATTCGGAGGAAAACGCGTTCGGATTTGCGAAATAAAACAACCATCATTATAAAATCACTACGAGCTAGCTAGCTCGTGGCTATAGCGCTAGTGCACAAAGAGATTTTGAAACCAGGAAAGTGGAAATAGTTTACCGTAGCAAAGTGCTCTTCCCGCTACGGTGTGAGATGCACTTTCGTACAGTAGGGGTGACAGTGCATGGGGTCAGTGTGTACAGGCCAGCAGATCTTGCAAAAATGGGGTGGGCGTTTGCTCCGGACTTTACCGTAATTGTATTCTCTGGTTATAAAATAGGTTAAGCTCACAGAATAAAATTAATACCATCGGTCCCTTGGTGTTCGTCCTAAAGAGGTTCGACTGGATATCATTCATACTCACCAAAAGATGTGTAAGATTTTATTATTGTGGAGTGCCTTGTTTATCTCTCAGTACCTCCAACCATAGCCTTGACCCTTTTATCCTCAGGATCAGTGTAGTTGTTGGAACGAGGTTTTGGACTCAGCAATGTATTCGTTTACATTTTAATACATGTTTATTGTTCCTTCTTTGCTGTGTTGTTTTAGACAATCGTGGACTAACAGTTTGAAGTCATTGAACTACTTCCAAAAGTTGTATCGACATCAACAGGATTACGATTTCAGTTTCACTATGATGCTGGATGACCTTATCACGATAACCCATGACTATAAACCATTATAAACACTGAATCAACAAAAACATCTGCGACACGCACCTGGCGCATGGCTACATTTCTCAAATAAATCTGATTGAGGGTGGAGAAATCTGAAATATCTGAAAGACAAGACAATTTCATGAAATTCGGCAACAGCAACATGCGCAGAATGACTTCCGTATAAAAAAAGTATCACCACCACTGCTCACATGTTTCCCCGCGGAAGAACATGCATTATGCTAGTGCCATTTTCTGCAAGAAAAGGCTTGCACATCAATGCGTATAATACGGTATTGATATGATGTGAAGGTCACCATTTTCATATTGATATACTAGTAGGGCATTCCATTGATTGGTGACAGAAAAAAACAAAAGAAATTATAGCAATAAAAACTGCTTTATGGCAGTTTTCTAAAAAAGGTTATTGTGTTCTAGTCCATGGACCCCGTCTAAAAAGTAAGAAATTAACGAAATGTGATAGCTGAAAATTAAAATTTCACACAAAACCTCACAATAATCACACACAGAATGAAAATCTACATGCAGAAGACCTTTTCCCCTCGTGATCCTCTTTCCTATGCATGCATGTTGCCAATTGTTGGTGCAGTACAAGTTGAGTGTTGAAAGCAGCATTTCAAGTGTTGTGATTATTGTGAGGTTTTGTGTGAAATTTTAATTTTCAGCTATCACATTTCGTTAATTTCTTACTTTTTAGACGGGGTCCATGGACTAGAACACAATAACCTTTTTTAGAAAACTGCCATAAAGCAGTTTTTATTGCTATAATACATATAAGTGTGACCGCGAGACAGGAGAATTTCATGAAGCCAATAATTATGAGAACAGTGCCTGGTGCGAAACAGGGCTGGTATGCGGACGATGCTGCAGCCGGTGGCAAGCTAACGCCTGTTCGCCAATGGTGGGACAATCTCGTCAGCCAAGGTCCTGGGTATGGCTACCACTGCAATGCCCAGAAGTCACTCCTCCTGGTCAAGCCCTCCAGGTACGCAGCTGCTATCGAGATGTTCGAGGGGACCGGTGTGCAGGTCACGTGTGATGGTTGCCGCCACCTTGGTGCACCTTTGGGCACGGATGAGTTTATAGAACAATTTGTCCAGTCCAAGGTCGCCACCTGGTGTGAGGAAGTTGCGCAGCTCACGACCATCGCTGCATCGCAGCCACAGGCCGCCTACTCCGCCTTCACACAGGGCCTGCAAAACAAGTGGTCCTTCCTCTGCCGGACCTCCTCCATCCCGCCATCCTTGCTTGAACCGCTGGAACACGCAATCAGCGGTCGGCTCATCCCGGCCATCACGGGTCAGGCTCCACCTGGGACAACTGTTCGCTCCCTACTCTCTCTGCCTTGCCGGCTTGGGGGACTGGGTATGGCAGACCCTTGTTCAGTGGCTGAACAGTACACCTCATCCCGAAGGATCACGGCTAGCCTCGTGTCTCGCCTGCTGGAGCAGGAGTCGTCTCTTGGCGACTCTCTGACTCAGCTCCGGACAGTCAAGGCGACGGTTCGGGCCGAGAAGCGGAGCGCGTTCAAGTCTATGGCTGACGCTCTTCGCTCGGATCACCGGGAGCTGGCCCCTGTTCTCGACCTGGCCTCAGAAAAGGGTGCATCCAGCTGGCTGACCTGCCGCCCCCTCAGCCGCCATGGTTTCACACTCAGCAAGGGAGATTTCCGGGATGGCCTGTGCCTCCGGTACGGCTGGACACCTCCTCGGCTCCCAAGCCTCTGCGTGTGCAGTAAGCCGCTGAATGTGAGTCACGCCCTGTCGTGCCCGTTTGGTGGCTTCCCGACGCTGCGACACAACGAGGTGAGGGACATCACCGCCAGAGCTCTGAGGCAGGTCGCTCACAACGTGACAGTGGAACCCCACCTCCAGCCCGTCACTGGAGAGGCCTTCCGCCATCGCACAGCTGTCACGGAGGAGCAAGCTCGGCTGGACGTTGCGGCTAGTGGTGTGTGGGGTGGCCGATTCGAGCGCATCTTTATTGATGTACGGGTGTTCAACCCTTTTGCGTCTTCGAATCGTGCCACCTCCCTCGCTGCTAGCTACAGACGCCATGAACAGGAAAAGCGCCGGAAGTACGAGGAGCGAGTACGTGAAGTTGAGCATGCCTCCTTCGTGCCCGTTGTGCTCTCTGCCTCTGGTGGCTATGGCAAGCATGCCAATGCTCTTTTCACGCGGATCGCCTCTCTCCTGGCTGAGAAGAGTAAGGAGCCATACGGGCAGGTTATCTCCTTGCTGCGCTGCCGCCTTGGGTTTGCCCTGGTGCGTTGTGGTGCTATGTGCCTGCGTGGCTCAAGGAGCATGTTTGCTCCTGCCATGCCTGAGTCCCCTGCTGTGCTAGTGGCGGCGGAGGCACGCATCCAGTGAACCTGCACAGTGCAGTGATCCTACTGAGTGACAGACTCTGTAAATACTGTATATGATGATTCGTTTTTATATATGTGTTGATTCTTCACAAAATGTGTTATTTTGCCCGTACAAGAGGCTCAGTTTTCCGTGTGAAAAAAAAAATAATAATAATAATTATGAGAATTTCATTGAAACCGAAGTAAATCAGGTCATGTGACCGAGAATCCGCTACAATTTTACGCGCAGTGAGGGAAATGCATCAGTACAGTACGTACAGTATTTTTGAATTATTTGATATTCGTGTAATGGCGTGGATTCGCTGCCGACTTGGCTTTGCTCTGGTTCGCTCCAGCATGGTTTGTTTGCGTGGTGCTCGGCGACGCCCAATGCGCGTCAGCGATGTGGCGGATGCATCTGCTACCTTGGCCGTTGCCGAGGCCCGCTGCCCTGTGTAACTGACTGCAAGTGGTTCCTAAATCAGTTCCTATTCCTCATTGTTGCTTCTTTTTTCCCCTCTAGTTTTCTTTTACGGTATTATAATTTCACGGAGAAGGCGGAGAGCCCGAACGTGTGCAGTTTTATGTTTATTATTTGCCATGGCGACCCCCATAAGTCCAAATAACTGGCAGGGCAGGGTTGGGCCTTTTTCTTTCTTCTCGGATTTATTTTCATGACATGCTCACTGATTTTACTCAGAAAAAATTTGCATGTGCAGTGCCGTTCAAAAAAAAAAAAAAAAAAAAAAAAAAAAAATTGAATTATTTCAAAAACGTTGTGAACACTAGTACCGTAAAATCCCGCCAGAGCGCCCCTACCTCCTCGACGTTTCACGTGGGGAGGGGCGGATGGGCGATAGTCATGGCCCAAATTTGCTCGGCCTACATCGATATTTTGCCGCACAAATTTGCCACAAAATTTTCGATATGCTGCTTGGCATTTCCTTTCTCCGTGGGTATTTTGCTTTGGTTTTGAAAAGCGATCCTGTCTTTTCATGACATGCTCACTGATTTTACTCAGAAAAAAAAAATTAGAAAAGCGATCCTGTCAGCTTTTCTATTATTGTGTTCACATGGCGCTACCTAACGACACCGCTATGCAGACCAGGGAGTAGTACAATACCAGGGAGTAGTACAATACGGTATTGTACTACTCCCTGATTCAGACACGTTGTCTACGTAGCTACGTAAGTTTCTACGTAAGATGCTCGGTACCTGGTCCTGGACCAGGAAGCTACATGGCTCCAACTATCGCGCGGCCGGCTGGCCGCATGCGTGTGCATTGCAGACTTTTTGTTGTTGCCTTTTCGGATGTGCATGCACGAGGAACTTCCTTCTTTGGAACTGCTTCTTGCATGAGCTGTTTCGGATATTTCGTCTTCTGGCCTGGCTTATTTCGTTTCGGCGCTGCTGAGACATCCTTTCGCGGAATATTACTCAATGACAGGTGAGTTGACCAGTTGCCTTTGATTCATTTGCTTGTGTTGACTCTTTCATTTACGAAAAGTGTGCTGATTTTGGGCGGAATGCAATAAATAATGGAAAAGCTGACAGGATCTCCTTTCTAAATTTAGCTTTTCCGCTGCCTAGGCCTCCTTTTACGGAATACTCAATGACAGGTGATCTCTGAGTTGACCAGTTTCCTTCGATTCATTTGCTTATGCTCACCCTTTCATTTACGGAAACGTGTGCTGATTTCTCTTTGCCCTTGCCTACAGTGTGCGAAGAACGCGAGTTCACCTTCTTGACGGTAAGGCTTATGTTAGATGTGTTGTCGAAATACTCATATTCATTGCACATTAGTACGTTACAAGTAAGGCACTGGCCAGTGGCATACTATCGTTGGCAGTTCCCAATCTGGAGGGAAAGGTTCAAGGACTCATTGACCGAGTTTGCCAAAAAAATTCGCATATCGGGGAAAATCTCCATTGTGGAGAGGTTCAGTAACTTGTTTGCTTCATACGAAACAAGCCAATGGGTGCAGTCTCGTCTCGTGAAAATCTCGTACTTGTATGATTGGATTTGTTTACTCGAGTCTGGGCTGTTTGATTTGTGAGCACCGCCGAGATTGCACTGCCCCAAATAAAGTTTCGTGCCGCCAAAGCAAGAATTACGATCTGCAATCTGTTTGTAGTACCTGCAAGAATGTGCAGTACATGTATCGTACTTTCTCTGTTGCTGTTTCAGTTGCCGTCATGTTGCTAAAGAAAGGTTCAGTAGAGAGGTTCTGCAAAACGAAAATTCGAACGAAGTTTCGCGACAGTCCTTCCGAAAGTGTGTACGAATTTTTGCACAAACTTTGCGTTCTGCACATTTTCGTAGTTTGCGCGGGCCAAGTGCACGTACGCCATGACCCGATCTCACGAAATTTCCTACGACGGTTCATTTCGCGTTCCCTGCAAGTTTTGCGTCCAAAGTTGCGAAAGTTGGTGCGAAGTTTCGCACTTCAAGATGTAGAGCGAAAGTTTGTACGCTTTTTCATTTTGCAGAACCTCTCTAGTGACTCTTTTGTTTCATACGAGACGAGTCAATGAGTCCGTGTGGCTTAGAATCTTTCGCTGCAGAAGAAATCTATTCGTATGTCTATTGGAGAAATAATTGTATTCACTGGTTATAAAATTGGCTAAGACAAACTCACAGAATAAATACCATCGGCCCCTTGGTGTTCGTCCTAAAGAGTTTCGACTGGATATCATTCATACTCACCAAAAGATGTGTAAGATTTTATTATCATGGAGTGCCTTGTTTATCTCTCAGTATCAGTACCTCCAACCATAGCCTTGACCCTTTTATCCTCATGATCAGTGTAGTTGTTGGAACGAGGTGTCGGACTCAGCAATGTATTTGTTTACATTTTAATACATGTTTATTGTTCCTCCTTTGCTGTGTTGTTTTAGAAAATCGTGGACTAACAGTTTGAAGTCATTGAACTACTTCCAAAAGTTGTATCGACATCAACAGGATTACGATTTCAGTGCAATATGATGCTGGATGATCTTATCACGATAACCCATGATTATAAACCATTATAAACACAGAATCAACAAAAACATCTGCGACACGCACCTGGCGCATGGCTACATTTCTCAAATAAATCTGATCGAGGGTGGGGAAATCTGAAATATCTGAAAGGCAAGACAAAGAGTCATGAAATTCTGCAACAGCAACAATTGAACATGCACAGAATGACCTCCGTATAAAAAAGTATCACCACCACTATTCACATGTTTCCCCGCAGAAGAACATGCATTATGTTAGTGCCATTTTCTGCAAGAAAAGGCTTGCACATCAATGCGTATAATACGGTATTGATATGATCAAGAGTCCACCTCTTGATATGATGTGAAGGCCATCATTTACATATTGATATAGGGCATTCCATTGATTGGTGACAGAAAAAACAAAAGAAATTATAGCAATAAAAACTGCTTTATGGCAGTTTTCTAAAAAAAGTTATTGTGTTCTAGTCCATGGACCCCGCCTAAAAAGTAAGAAATTAACGAAATGTGATTGCTGAAAATTAAAATTTCACACAAAACCTCACAATAATCACACACAGAATTAAAAGCTACATGTAGAAGACCTTTTCCTCTCGTGATCCTCTTTCCTATGCATGCATGATGCCAATTGTTGGTGCAGTACAAGTTAAAGTTGAAAGCAGCATTTCAAGTGTTGTGATTATTGTGAGGTTTTGTGTGAAATTTTAATTTTCAGCAATCACATTTCGTTAATTTCTTACTTTTTAGACGGGGTCCGGTCCATGGACTAGAACACAATAACTTTTTTTAGAAAACTGCCATAAAGCAGTTTTTATTGCTATAATTATTATTGTTTTCACATGGCAGAAGAAACGACATCGCTATGCTACGTAAGTTTCTACGTAAGGTGCTCGGTATTTCACTTAGGCTACGTAAGTCTCTACGTAAAGTGCTCGGTATTAGATCTACCAACGCGTGGTAGCCGTGTGCTGTGCACGTGCACGGCAGACATTAGGGAGGTTCTGCTCTACGTTTTGGGAACGCGACACAAAGAATCACGCGAACTTTCTTCGCGTTCCCGTAACGTAAAGAAATGCTGTTCTGCTCTACGTTTCACCTAGAGAAGTCACGTGGAATGTGTACTGGGAATTTTCCCTTCCATATTTGGCAGTTTTCTGCATGCAGTTGATCGATACCCAGCAAATCCGTACGCATTTTCTCTGCGTGTGCCACAACGTAGAGAACCCCATCTCCGCGTAGAAATCTGGAGCCAAAACACGCGAAGCCGTAGACTCTAACCCAGACACTTGCTCTCTACGTGATTTCTCTACGTTTCACGTATAGCAGAACCTCCCTAATGATGCTGGATGATCTTATCACGATAACCCATGATTATAAACCATTATAAACACAGAATCAACAAAAACATTAGCTGTTTCGGATATTTCGTCTTCTGGCCTGGCTTATTTCGTTTCGGCGCTGCTGAGACCTCCTTTCGCGGAATATTACTCAATGACAGGTGAATTGACCAGTTGCCTTTGATTCATTTGCTTGTGTTGACTCTTTCATTTACGAAAAGTGTGCTGATTTTGGGCGGAATGCAATAAATAATGGAAAAGCTGACAGGATCTCCTTTCTAAATTTAGCTTTTCCGCTGCCTAGGCCTCCTTTTACGGAATACTCAATGACAGGTGATCTCTGAGTTGACCAGTTTCCTTCGATTCATTTGCTTATGCTCACCCTTTCATTTACGGAAACGTGTGCTGATTTCTCTTTGCCCTTGCCTACAGTGTGCGAAGAACGCGAGTTCACCTTCTTGACGGTAAGGCTTATGTTAGATGTGTTGTCGAAATACTCATATTCATTGCACATTAGTACGTTACAAGTAAGGCACTGGCCAGTGGCATACTATCGTTGGCAGTTCCCAATCTGGAGGGAAAGGTTCAAGGACTCATTGACCGAGTTTGCCAAAAAAATTCGCATATCGGGGAAAATCTCCATTGTGGAGAGGTTCAGTAACTTGTTTGCTTCATACGAAACAAGCCAATGGGTGCAGTCTCGTCTCGTGAAAATCTCGTACTTGTATGATTGGATTTGTTTACTCGAGTCTGGGCTGTTTGATTTGTGAGCACCGCCGAGATTGCACTGCCCCAAATAAAGTTTCGTGCCGCCAAAGCAAGAATTACGATCTGCAATCTGTTTGTAGTACCTGCAAGAATGTGCAGTACATGTATCGTACTTTCTCTGTTGCTGTTTCAGTTGCCGTCATGTTGCTAAAGAAAGGTTCAGTAGAGAGGTTCTGCAAAACGAAAATTCGAACAAAGTTTCGCGACAGTCCTTCCGAAAGTGTGTACGAATTTTTGCACAAACTTTGCGTTCTGCACATTTTCGTAGTTTGCGCGGGCCAAGTGCACGTACGCCATGACCCGATCTCACGAAATTTCCTACGACGGTTCATTTCGCGTTCCCTGCAAGTTTTGCGTCCAAAGTTGCGAAAGTTGGTGCGAAGTTTCGCACTTCAAGATGTAGAGCGAAAGTTTGTACGCTTTTTCATTTTGCAGAACCTCTCTAGTGACTCTTTTGTTTCATACGAGACGAGTCAATGAGTCCGTGTGGCTTAGAATCTTTCGCTGCAGAAGAAATCTATTCGTATGTCTATTGGAGAAATAATTGTATTCACTGGTTATAAAATTGGCTAAGACAAACTCACAGAATAAATACCATCGGCCCCTTGGTGTTCGTCCTAAAGAGTTTCGACTGGATATCATTCATACTCACCAAAAGATGTGTAAGATTTTATTATCATGGAGTGCCTTGTTTATCTCTCAGTATCAGTACCTCCAACCATAGCCTTGACCCTTTTATCCTCATGATCAGTGTAGTTGTTGGAACGAGGTGTCGGACTCAGCAATGTATTTGTTTACATTTTAATACATGTTTATTGTTCCTCCTTTGCTGTGTTGTTTTAGAAAATCGTGGACTAACAGTTTGAAGTCATTGAACTACTTCCAAAAGTTGTATCGACATCAACAGGATTACGATTTCAGTGCAATATGATGCTGGATGATCTTATCACGATAACCCATGATTATAAACCATTATAAACACAGAATCAACAAAAACATCTGCGACACGCACCTGGCGCATGGCTACATTTCTCAAATAAATCTGATCGAGGGTGGGGAAATCTGAAATATCTGAAAAGCAAGACAAAGAGTCATGAAATTCTGCAACAGCAACAATTGAACATGCACAGAATGACCTCCGTATAAAAAAGTATCACCACCACTATTCACATGTTTCCCCGCAGAAGAACATGCATTATGTTAGTGCCATTTTCTGCAAGAAAAGGCTTGCACATCAATGCGTATAATACGGTATTGATATGATCAAGAGTCCACCTCTTGATATGATGTGAAGGCCATCATTTACATATTGATATAGGGCATTCCATTGATTGGTGACAGAAAAAACAAAAGAAATTATAGCAATAAAAACTGCTTTATGGCAGTTTTCTAAAAAAAGTTATTGTGTTCTAGTCCATGGACCCCGCCTAAAAAGTAAGAAATTAACGAAATGTGATTGCTGAAAATTAAAATTTCACACAAAACCTCACAATAATCACACACAGAATTAAAAGCTACATGTAGAAGACCTTTTCCTCTCGTGATCCTCTTTCCTATGCATGCATGATGCCAATTGTTGGTGCAGTACAAGTTAAAGTTGAAAGCAGCATTTCAAGTGTTGTGATTATTGTGAGGTTTTGTGTGAAATTTTAATTTTCAGCAATCACATTTCGTTAATTTCTTACTTTTTAGACGGGGTCCGGTCCATGGACTAGAACACAATAACTTTTTTTAGAAAACTGCCATAAAGCAGTTTTTATTGCTATAATTATTATTGTTTTCACATGGCAGAAGAAACGACATCGCTATGCTACGTAAGTTTCTACGTAAGGTGCTCGGTATTTCACTTAGGCTACGTAAGTCTCTACGTAAAGTGCTCGGTATTAGATCTACCAACGCGTGGTAGCCGTGTGCTGTGCACGTGCACGGCAGACATTAGGGAGGTTCTGCTCTACGTTTTGGGAACGCGACACAAAGAATCACGCGAACTTTCTTCGCGTTCCCGTAACGTAAAGAAATGCTGTTCTGCTCTACGTTTCACCTAGAGAAGTCACGTGGAATGTGTACTGGGAATTTCCCCTTCCATATTTGGCAGTTTTCTGCATGCAGTTGATCGATACCCAGCAAATCCGTACGCATTTTCTCTGCGTGTGCCACAACGTAGAGAACCCCATCTCCGCGTAGAAATCTGGAGCCAAAACACGCGAAGCCGTAGACTCTAACCCAGACACTTGCTCTCTACGTGATTTCTCTACGTTTCACGTATAGCAGAACCTCCCTAATGATGCTGGATGATCTTATCACGATAACCCATGATTATAAACCATTATAAACACAGAATCAACAAAAACATCTGCGACACGCACCTGGCGCATGGCTACATTTCTCAAATAAATCTGATCGAGGGTGGGGAAATCTGAAATATCTGAAAGGCAAGACAAAGAGTCATGAAATTCTGCAACAGCAACAATTGAACATGCACAGAATGACCTCCGTATAAAAAAGTATCACCACCACTACTCACATGTTTCCCCGCAGAAGAACATGCATTATGTTAGTGCCATTTTCTGCAAGAAAAGGCTTGCATGTGGGGATTGCCCTATCAAAAATTTAATAATAATAATAATAATAATGCGTATAATACGGTATTGATATGATCAAGAGTCCACCTCTTGATATGATGTGAAGGCCATCATTTACATATTGATATAGGGCATTCCATTGATTGGTGACAGAAAAAACAAAAGAAATTATAGCAATAAAAACTGCTTTATGGCTTTTTTCTAAAAAAAGTTATTGTGTTCTAGTCCATGGACCCCGTCTAAAAAGTAAGAAATTAACGAAATGTGATTGCTGAATATTAAAATTTCACACAAAACCTCACAATAATCACACACAGAATTAAAGGCTACATGTAGAAAACCTTTTCCCCTCGTGATCCTCTTTCCTATGCATGCATGTTGCCAATTGTTGGTGCAGTACAAGTTAAAGTTGAAAGCAGCATTTCAAGTGTTGTGATTATTGTGAGGTTTTGTGTGAAATTTTAATTTTCAGCAATCACATTTCGTTAATTTCTTACTTTTTAGACGGGGTCCGGTCCATGGACTAGAACACAATAACTTTTTTTAGAAAACTGCCATAAAGCAGTTTTTATTGCTATAATTTAGAAAAGCGATCCTGTCAGCTTTTCTATTATTGTGTTCACATGGCAAGAAAAACGACACCGCTATGCTACGTAAGTTTCTACGTAAGGTGCTCGGTATTTCACTTAGGCTACGTAAGTCTCTACGTAAGGTGCTCGGTATTAGATCTACCAACGGGTGGTAGCCGGGTGCTGTGCACGTGCCCGGCAGACATTGTGTTGCAGTGCATGCAGTCCGTGTTTGGATGTGCATGCGCGAGGAACTAATAATGAATTTATATTACTTTCTCCTTTGGAACTGCTTCTTGTATGAGCTGTTTCGGATATTTCGTCTCCTGGCCTGGCTTATTTCGTTTCGGCGCTGCTGAGACCTCCTTTCGCGGAATATTACTCAATGACAGGTGAGTTGACCAGTTCCCTTTGATTCATTTGCTTGTGCTGACTCTTTCATTTACGAAAAGTGTGCTGATTTTGGGCGGAATGCAATAAATAATGGAAAAGGTGACAGGATCTCTTTTCTAAATTTAGCTTTTCCGCTGCCGAGGCCTCCTTTTACGGAATACTCGATGACAGGTGATCTCTGAGTTGACCGGTTTCCTTCGATTCATTTGCTTATGCTCACCCTTTCATTTACGGAAACGTGTGCTGATTTTATTCGGATTTAGATCCATTTAAATCTCTTTGCCCTTGTCTACAGTGTGCGAAGAACGCGAGTTCACCTTCTTGACGATAAGGCTTATGTTAAATGTGTTGTCGAAATACTCATATTCATTGTACATTGGTACATTACAAGTAAGGCACTGGTCAGTGGCATACTATCGTTGGCAGTTCCCAATCTGGAGGGAAAGGTTCAAGGACCCATTGACCGAGTTTGCAAAATAAATTCGCATATCAGGGAAAATCTCCATTGTGGAGAGGTTCAGTAAACTTGTTTGCTTCATACGAAACAAGCCAATGGGTGCAGTCTCGTCTCGTGAAGATCTCGTACTTGTATGATTGGATTTGTTTCCTCGAGTCTGGGCTGTTTGATTTATTATTTGTGAGTACCACCGAGATTGCACTGCCCCAAATAAAGTTTCGTGCCGCCAAAGCAAGAATTACGATCTGCAATCTGTTTGTAGTACCTGCAAGAATGTGCTGTACATGTATCGTACTTTCTCTGTTGCTGTTTCAGTTGCCGTCATGTTGCTAAAGAAGCGTTCAGTAGAGAGGTTCTGCAAAACGAAAATTCGAACGAAGTTTCGCGACAGTCTTTGCGAAAGTGTGTACGAATTTTTGCACGAACGTTGCGTTCTGCACATTTTCGTAGTTTGCGCGGGCCAAGTGCACGTACGCCATGACCCGATCTCACGAAAGTGTGTACGACTGTTCATTTCGCGTTCCCTGCAAGTTTCGCGTCCAGAGTTGCGAAAGTTCGTGCGAAGTTTCGCACTTCATGACGTGGAACGAAAGTTTGTACGCATTTTCGTTTTGCAGAACCTCTCTAGTGACTCTTTATTTTGTTTGAGACGAGTCAATGAGTTGGTGTGGCTTAGAATCTTTCGCTGTAGAATAAATCTATTCATATGTCTATTGGAGAAATAATTGTATTCACTGGTTATAAAATAGGTTAAGACAAACTCACAGAAGAAATACCATCGGTCCCTTGGTGTTCGTCCTAAAGAGGTTCGACTGGATATCATTCACACTCACCAGAAGATGTGTAAGATTTTATTATTATTGAGTGCCTTGTTTATCTCTCAGTACCTCCAACCATAGCCTTGCCCCTTTTATCCTCAGGATCAGTGTAGTTGTTTGAATGAGGTGTTGGACTCAACAATGTATTTGTTTGCATTTTAATACATGTTTATTGTTCCTCCTCTGCTGTGTTGTTTTAGAAAATCGTGGACTAACAGTTTGAAGTCATTGAACTACTTCCAAAAGTTGTATCGACATCAACAGGATTACGATTTCAGTGCAATATGATGCAGGATGACCTTATCACGATAACCCATGATTATAAACCATTATAAACACAGAATCAACAAAAACATCTGCGACACGCACCTGGTTACATTTCACAAATAAATCTGATCGAGGGTGGGGAAATCTGAAATATCTGAAAGGCAAGACAATTTTATGAGTCATGAAATTCTGCTACAGCAACATGCACAGAATGACCTCTGTATAATAAAAAAGTATCACCACGGTCCACCACTACTCACATGTTTCCCCGCAGAAGAACATTATTATTATTATTATTATTATTATATTTATTTTACTAGGGTGTTTCCCACAGACCTATGGTCTTCTTACGGGAGCCCCTAGAAAGGTTAAGCATGAACGAACAAATGGGCGATATTCTGTACAAGAGCGAACAGTGGAAGGCAGCATATTCCACCGATCAGAACCTATGTAGCCAAGACGAGAAAAACCAGCTTTAGTGTGGGCATGCATTATGCTAGTGCCATTTTCTGCAAGAAAAGGCTTGCACATCAATGCGTATAATACGGTATTGATACGATGTGAAGGCCATCATTTACATATTGATATACAAGTTGTAGGGCATTCCATTGATATGATTGGTGACAGAAAAAACAAAAGAAATTATAGCAATAAAAACTGCTTTATGGCAGTTTTCTAAAAAAAGTTATTGTGTTCTAGTCCATGGACCCCGTCTAAAAAGTAAGAAATTAACGAAATGTGATAGCTGAAAATTAAAATTTCACACAAAACCTCACAATAATCACACACAGAATGAAAAGCTACATGAAGAAGACCTTTTAACCTC